TCTTATCCATTGTGCTTATAAATCCTTCGAGAGTTTGTTTCACTTCTGTAATCTCCTTCTGGACGTCTGTAATCTCCCTCCAGACATCTGTAATCTCCCTCCGGACTTCATCCCTTAGCTCTTGTATATTTCTCTGCATCTCCGTCAGCATGTTTATGATTTTTATTTTGAATTCTTTTTCAGGAAGACTGGTTAGGTCTGTCTCCTTCTCAGGTGTTGTGTCTGTAATCTTTGCCTCAAATTTTGCCTTTTCATGGCGATAGAGATAGCAGAGCTGGCATGAGTGATGGCTGGCAGAAGTTCCCTTCTGGTTTGTTTGTGGACTTCCTCTCCTGGGAGAACAGCGACCTCTAGTGGCTTGTGCTGGGCAGCTGCATGCAGACAGGGCTTCTGATTCTTGCCCCACTGCAATGGAGTTTATCTCCACTGTTGCTGTGGGCATGGCCTGCCTTGGGCTGCTGCTCCGATACAGTGAAGCCGCATTGGAGGGCGAATGGCTGGGTGGCTGTTTATCTCCATGAAGGGCCTCTGAGCTGCCCTGCTATCCAGGAGTTTAGGGTGCCCGGAGTTCCCTGCTGTTGAACTAAGTATCCCAGGACACTTCTGTCCGGCGGTGGGGTCCCTTTAAGACTTACAAAAAGCACTCGCTTTTCTTTGTCCCCGGGGCGCCAGCTGCAGGGACCTGCTCACAGGTCTTACTGTCCTGTTTCCCTAGTATCCAGGACCCCACGCATGCACTGTGTTTGCGCTCTGTTGCTGATGGCTAGGGCTGGCTATATAGCAGTCCTGGGCTCCCTCTCCCTCCCCGCTCCGACTCCTCTCCTCACACCCAGAGCTGGGGTGTGGGGCGCTCGGGTCCCACTGGGCCGGGGCTTGTGTCTTACCCCCTTCGCGAAGCTCTGGGTTCTCGCAGGTGTGGATGTGGCCTGGATGTTGTTCTGTGTCTTCTGGTTTCTCTTTTAGGGAGTTGTCTTTGTTGTATTTTCAAAAATATATGTGGTTTTGGGAGGAGATTTCCGCTGCTCTACTCATGCCGCCATCATGGCTCCGCCTCCTTGTCCTCTCCATTTTTGATGCCAATTTGCAGGAGTACTTTAGCAGGGTGTCTGAACATGTGCCAACCCAGTCTGTTACAGATGGGAGACTCTTTAGAAGCCTATGGTTCTGTCCTTGTCTTCCAACCAGGTGCATTCTGGCAAAATGTAGCTATGGTACTACCCTTTTCTCACTCTTCCATTTCTCACCCTACCTATCATTCCTCTCTCTGCCAGTATCCCTCATTTAACCTCAAATAGAAGCTCAGGCTGCCTGCCTTGACTTGTATTTCTTTTGGAACGTAGAGAACAAATAGGGCCTGGAGATTAACTGACAGTATCTGACCTCTTGCTACTGTGGCATACTATGTCTTGCATATGATCCTTTATTTATTTATTATCATATCCTTTATTCTCTCTTTCCTAAGCTTGGTGTTAGTAACCTTTTTCCAGGCCTTGCCTCCAACTCCAAGGCACTATCTTGCCATAAGTAAGATACAGAGAGAAGCGAATGGCTCTCTGACTTTGGGATGGCATTGAGACTAGAACCCAAGTTAGAACTCTCTCCCAGAAACTCAGTTCAGTAACAGTCAAGAAAGCAAAAGGACGGTGCAAAAATGTGCCTTGGCTGTTTGCTGGGAATGGGGTGGTGGTGTATATTGGATGAGGTGGGATTTGTTCCATAGACATTGGAGACAAACTCATAATGAAAGAAAAAAACATGGAAAAATCATTTTTAGAGCTGGGCAAAACCTCAAAATTAATCCAAGTTCTGTCATAAGTCACTAAGATGTTTACACTCTTCCCTCTTGTATTAGTCTTCTACAGCTGCCATAACAAAATAGCAGACTGCATATCTTAAACAACGGAAATTTATTTTCTCACAGTTCCAGAGGCTGGACATCCAACATCAAGGTGTCAGCAGGTTTGGTTTCTTCTCAGGACTTTCTCCTTGGCTTGCAGTCAGCCACCATCTTGCTGCATCCTTATATGTTCCTCTATCCGATCATGTTGTCTGTGTCCTGATCCTCTCTTCTAGTAAGGACATCTGTCCTATTGGATTAGGACCCACCCATATGTCCTCATTTTACTTTTTAATTACCTTTTTAAAGGCCCTATCTCCAAATGCAGTCACAGTCTGAGGTACTTGGGTTTAGGACTTAAACCTATGAATTTGGAGGGGACACAGATCATTGTAGTACGTACATTATTGACACCAACTGGTAAATTCCCATAAATAAATCCCAGATTTTAGCACACCTACATCTCTTTTTACTCATCATTTGCATATTTCTATTGCAAAAGATACATTATTTGCCTTTTATTTCACTAGTAGTCTTTTTTTCTTAAAGCTGTTTCTGCCAGTTAATTTGAACTTCAGATGTCTTTTTCTAGTGAAGAAATAGAAGTCTTTATAGGTAACAAAAGGATTTTAAGAAAAGGATGGAGCAAATACTTCCTCTCCCCTAATGCTGCTGAGGGAGAGACCTTTTATACATTATAAAACAAGCAATCTGATTAAATGAAGAATTAAATTGAGAACTTTCACAAGAATTCCAGTCCAGTTCTTTGCAATATGAAGATAAGTAATTCAAAACTTTCACTAACTTGAGTTTTGTTTTCTGTTAATATAATTTTGTCCTTGTTAAGAGTTGTTAGATTCCTTAAACTATAAAAATTTTTGCCATATCTTGGGAAAATCACCTGTCTTGATGATTTCTTGCCTTGGTGAGGCCATTTGAAGTCTATCTCTATTCCCAAAGTTATAAAGTTGCTTATGAGATTTATCTACCAATTAATAATAATTCATGATGGGATATTTGTAATCCTATGACTTCTATATTTATTACCTAACCAATTATTTCTTTTTTTTATACTTAAAATGTTGTTTGTTTGTTTTATATTAGTAGACCTTTTATTTTTTTTAGCAGTTTTAGGTTTATAGAAAAATTGAGCAGAAAGTACAGTTCCTCTTGTTAACAACTTGTGTTAGTGTGGTACATTGTTAGAGCCAATACAGTTGATGAGCCAATATCTATACATTGTTATTAACGAAAGTCCATAGGGTTCACTCTTTGTGTTGTGTAGTTCTGTGGGTTTTGCCAAATGCATGTTGTGTATTCACCATTACAGTAGCATAAAAAAGTCCCCTATGCTCAAACTTGAATAATTTAGTAACACTGTATAGTAAGAGGACCTCCCTCCCCAACCCTTCTTGGCGTTCCTGGAAATGAAATGACCTTTTACCCCACTGTCCCTTTTTCATTATTTGTGTATATCTCCTACATTTGTAAGGTCTGTGGAGAGTCAGCCACCTGGTCTCCTGATAAGCTTCCTAAAGGTGAGTTTTAAAGAACTAATCCATGTTGATGTACTCAGATACAACATCCAGCCAGTAGCCTGTTTTACTGGAGTTTATCTTTATTGTCACCTACTGTGTTTCGGCCTTTGACATGTGGCGATCATGGCCCCCTGCTTGGGATGGACTGCAAGGGATCTAACATGAAGAAGACTGAGCCCAGGAAACAGACTGTGAGCATTCCCACACCAGGACATGGGCTAAGAAACACAATTTTGGAATGAGATGGAAGGAGAATGGTATGGAGTGTCCATTCTTTAGGGAAGTGTATCCTGGAACAAAAGCTCACCCTTTGGTTTCCTCTCTCTTTTTCTGGTAACAAAAAGACCTCTAAGAATATATACAGATTATTTAGGATGACCTTATCACTTACTGTCCAAGTTGACACACTTTTGAGAGTGAGAGACAGCACTATTAATAATTATACTAGGGCAATAGGCATAAACCATGTCACCCTATAACGTTAGACCATACCAATTTTCATACCATAAAATTTCTGTCAACATGTTCCTTGATTGTAAGAACAGTTGTCTTTTCCTACCTTTTCCTTTCTTGGCACACCATTATCATACCCGAAGTTGACATATTTTTCTTTGTCTGCATTTGGAGTTTTAAAAAACTTTCATTCTGTAAGAATTGTTCAAACATTTCTTTAGTGGTGCATTTGGGAGAGAGAGAAAGGGGGCTATAATTAGGTGTGAATTCATCTGTCTAGGGGAGATCCCCTGGGAGAGAGCTGGTTGGTCTAGCTAGATCAGTAGAACTGCGTGCTGTTTGTCTCTGTGGCAACAGGGACTTGGCCCCTCAGTAATTTAGAATATTTAAAGGCAAGGGGAGAGCACAGTAAAGGAAAAGAAGGTTCCAATTTATTTCCCATTGGTTTCCAGTGAATTATTTTTCACTCTAAGAATAAAACTGTTTCTCCTCTCAATTTTAATGCCTGTTCCCAAAATTTCTTAGGAGGTACTAAGGGAAATAATAATTTAGGCACTATAAATAAAGAAATTATTTAAGGTGAACTCCCACTTTTTTTCTTCCCTTTTCTTTATATTGACTCTAATTTCTCCCTCTGTGCCTCAAGAAGGAAGGAAAAATGCAAAATTACCAGATATTCTGCTCATAGTGAGAAAATGGGGAGAAAAGTAGATAATTTGATGTTTTAGCACCATTTACAAGTGGTTGCTTTTCCAAGGAGCATAATAAAAAAATGTTAAGTTTGCTCAAGAACCATCTTTGCCCACTATGTCTAGATAGTGAAGTCCAGCAAAAATAAAACAAAACTGGAGAAATTTGAAAACAAGGTAATGATTCTTTTTTCTGAAAATGTTATGGGATGTGAGAGAGCATAGGGTTACAGAATTACCCAGGAAACATTTAAAGGTGGGACAGAAGGTATGAGTAGCTAATTTTGGCCTAAAGCTTTTAAAAAGTCACACAGTACTTGTGAATGCCAGCCATACGCCCAGATCCTAATTACTCAAACTCAAAATAAATCACTATCTATTCTATATTGCCCCGAATCTGTGCTCTGGCCTACTTACCTTTTCTAAGTAGTTTTTATTCTTGAGCAGATGCATAAAATTTATTTTTGTGAAGTATAGAGAACAATGGTATATTAGCAGTAGCCCTCCTCCTTCCCCCAGTTCAAGGAAGAGAATGTCACCTCCACCCCCTTACCCCATGACCTCTCCAACTATTATCCCTTTCTTAACCCCCTCTGAGGTACTATTGTCCTGATTTTTATATTTATCCCTTGCTTTTTTTAGTGTTACTACATGCTTGTAGCCTAAGTGTTGTTATTTAGTTTACACTTATAAATAGATCTATACTTTTCATATTTTGCAGCCTCCTGTTTTTGTTCAACATTATATTCTTGAGATTTATCCATATTTTTGCATGTAGCTATAGTTATTTATTTCTGCTGCTGAATAGTAATCCCTTGCATAGATATTACCAAAATATATTTATCTATTCTAATATTAAAGGACATTGGACGGTTTTCAGTTTTTTAAGTTGCTATAAACATTCTTGGAGGGATTTCCTGTGCACACCTCCAAGAAATCCTCTAGGTAAACACTTAAAAGTGAAATTGCTTTCGATAATGCCACATTGTTTTCCAAAGTAAATATACCAGTGTATGCACACATAAACACACACCCCTGCAGTTTGTGTTTTAATTGTTCCACATCTGCTGAGCCTCTGATATTGTCAGTTTAGTTTTCACCAATTTGATGGATGTGAAATGTTATATCCTATGATTTTAGTATACATATCCGATATTACTGAGGCTGAGTGTATTTTTATGTGTTTATTCACCATTCTTGCTTCTCCTGAGAAGTACTTGTTAACACTTTCTTGCCCATTGTTTTTAAATTTTCATTTTGTCTTTTTCTTGCGGATCTGGAGATATTCTTTATATATTCTGGATTCTATTCCTTTGCCAATTATATGTGTTATGAATATCTTTGCCCAGCTTGCAACTTAATTTTTACTTTTTTTCATGCTTTTTTATTTACACAAATTGTTAATTTTAATATAGTCATATTTGAATTATAATGTAGTTAAATTTGTCAGTTTTTTCCTTAATGGTTTATACTTTTTGTGTCTTATTTTTTAAAAAAACTTTCTAGGAGCAGAGTGAGCAAGACAGAAGAATCCCCTGGACTGGCAAAGCCATCTGCGAAGCACTGCTGCTACCATGCCCAAGAGAAAGGCAAAAGGAGACACTAAAGGTGACAAAGTGAAGGTGAAGGATGAGCCACAGAGGAGATCGGCAAGGTTGTCTGCTAAACCTGCCCCTCCAAAACCAGAGCCCAAGCCTAAGAAGGCTCCTGCAAAGAAGGGAGAAAAGCTCCCCAAAAGGAGAAAGGGGAAAGCAGATAATGGTAAGGATGGGAGCAACCCTGCAAAGAACCAAGATGCCTCCACAGCCCAGTCACAGAAGGCAGAAGGCACTGGGGATGCCAAGTGAAGTATACTGTTTTTGATAGCTCTGTACTTCTAGTGACTCTACTGTTTGAAATAGTTTTTTTTTAATCAAGTTTTATAAAAATGTAGATTTTTTTTTTAACTTAGGTTGTCAGCATATAGGACACTTTGTTGTTGTCTTTTGTGGAAAGTACAAATACCACTAACAGAATGTCTCAGAACCTGGATTGAAATGAGAGAAAATAGGATTTTCTATCCTCATTTATGAAGATTATTCTTCGTTACCAGGAGAGATTCTCTGAAATTCACACATCAGCCACTTTGGCTCAGAAGAAGCCTTACAGTATGGAGAAGCAAAATTTCATGTCTTCTCCTTTCCTGATGCCATCAGCATATAGTTCCTGAAATCAAGAGTTGTGATGTGGCTTCAGCACCCCTAAAATCAGCTGTGTTGGGTAACACCTCATCCTTCCGTTGATAACACCAAGGCGGTGTTGCTCAAAAGAGCCAAGATTCCTGTTTGTAGCTTGTGGATCATCCTATTGATTAGCCTGTAGTGTTTAATTCCTTTCCTCCATGTCAGAGTTGACCAGTGGAAAGCTTTTATGTGTCTCATGTGAAATATCCATCCCTTCTGAAAACTTTTCCTGCTCAAAGCAGCAGCAGAAGACTTGACTTTTTGGAAAGGGGAATTTGTAAGTTGTAAAATGTTATGGATGGTTACCCATGCTACTAGAAGCATCTGTTTTTGAAAAGTATCTTTTAAAGCTGGATACAAGTTGGCTTGCTGAAGGGGTCATTATTTCCTACCCAGAGTCATAAAGATACTCTTTATGTCTTGTGAGAGTTTTATAGTTTTGTCTTCACATTTGGTTTTAGTCTTTCCTGAAATAATTTTCAGTGTATGTGCTGCTGAAATGAGTACTCCTGAACTGATTTTTGTGAACAATATGATATAGAAGCTCAATCTAATATTTTTTTCATATAATGTCCCAGCACCATTTTCTGAAACCTTCATCCTTTCCCCACTAATCTGTAACACTGGGTCTTTCATAAATCAAGCTTCTATGTGTGTGTTAGGGGTTAGGGGATAGTCTGTGGATGGTTTCTGTTTCTGACTCAATGGTCAATTGGTCTAACCTGTGGCAGTACTGCACAATCCTGAGTAGTAAAACGTTAGAAAAAAGTCTTTATACCTCAGGACAAATCCCATCTCATCCTCCAATATCACCACCAAATTTTTCTTCCTTGGGAGTATCTTGACTATTCTTAAAAACTCTTACATTCTTATATACTTGGCTATTCTTGTCTATACGCCTTGATTTGCTCTTCCATACAACTTTTAGAATTAGATTGACAAGTTCTAAATCAAATATTGGAATTTTTATTGGATCTGTATTAGATTTATAAATTACAATATTGAGACTTCTAATCCATAAACATCGTATAGTTCTCCATTTATTTAAGCTTTTAAAATGCCTTTCAATAAAGTTTTATAATTTCTCCATAAATGTCTTCTTTTGTTAATATTTCTTATGGACTTTATACTTTTTGATGCTATTTTATGTGTAGTTTTAGTTACTACATTTTCTGTTTTTAGCTAAAGTTGATTTTTTTATCCAGTAATCTTGCTAAACTTGCATTAATTCCTATATAGCTGTATATTCTTGGGGGTTTTTTTGTATAAATATATATTCTGTATATACAAACAATTTCATTTTTTCAGTCCTTACACTTTTTTCCTTTTTCTCAGGCTAGGCATTGTCCAAGTGCTAGGAGTACAGCAGTAAACCAAACAAGGTCTTTGTTTTCACCAAACTTATATTCTGTTGTTTGGAAGGAGGGGTAGACAGAAATTTATATGACTAAGGGCCTTAAGTAGGGAAGTCCTCTCTGATTAGATGCCATTTGAGCACAGCACTTAACAAAATAAAATAACAAAAGATGTAAATATGAAGAGAAGGCTTTCCAGCAGAGGCAATAGCAAAATACAGAGATGAGGTGAAAATGTGATTTGCATGCTGAGGAAGAACAAGGAGGCCGAAGTGACTGAATTGGAGTGAGAGTGAGGAAGAGTGGTACTATGATTGAAGAAATATCCAGGGGCCAGAAATTGGAAGACCCGCCAGGTTGTAATTTTTCTTTAATGGGATACTATTAGAGTTTTGAACAGAGAAACGACAATCTAAGTTTGTATGTGTGTATATGGCTGATGCATGGGTAGTAGGCTGTAAGGGGAAGAACTGAAGGAGGGATACCAGTTAAGTGGCTGTCATAACTGAATAGGTGGAAATTCTCATTTATCATACTGTATTACCATCCTTCCTCTATCAACTATTCCCACCCATTTTATTTGGTAAACAGCAAGTATCTGTTGTTTGCCTTCTCTTTGCCAAACAACAGATAAGGATCAAACATAAACATTCCCTATTTTCAGAGTCCAAAGTCAAATGTAAGAAAGTCACCACACAGTAGTGTGCTTAGTGTTATGGTAATACTGCTGGATACCCTAACCCTGATGCCAGAGCATGAGATTTCCTGGGGCATTTTGACACCTAAGTGGCAAAATGAAAGAAGGAGTTGGTCAAGCAAGGAATGGGGAAAGGGCTTTTAGTTTTAGTAAAATAACATTTGCAAAGATGTTAAAAGCTTAATGTGGTGCATAGTAGATACCAAAAAAATTATTTGTTGAATCAAAAAAATAAATGCATAACCAAATTGTTTTTTTGCAATACTAGATTTCTTATTTAGTATTTATTGTTTGCCAAATGCTGTCTGCCACTGATTTACATACATAATTTTATTTCTGTGACCCTGTGAGTTGAATCTTACTATCCCCATTTTACTTTACATTTGGTGAAACTGAGGCAGAGATTAAATAATTTACCCTGAGGCCATACAGTGAGCACAATCAAGAATCAGACTCAAATCTATAACTCCAGAGCCTAGAAGCTTCTTAATTGTTTAAAAAAAATCACTGCTTTAGATCTAATGTAATCCACCCCAAAAAATAATTTGGTGTTTCTGAGTATAAGGAGTTTCCCAAGGTGCCATTAGGAAATAATAACAAGTAATAATATTCTACAAGATAAACAGTTGTAATTTCCAATAAAGGAAGTAATGAAAGGACAATAAATTCCATGGAGAAAGTTGGCCTATGGAATCTAGAACTTCAATCTATCTTCAGCAACATAAAGCTAGAAGGGGTATTGTTTCTGTACAAGCATACTAATTTTTTGACAAATATTCCTGAAGTGGGGAAGAGCAAATTAAATAATAAATTAGCCTTTAAGCCTCCTTTGCCTACTTTTCTGATTCATTTGGCACTTAACAGTTCCTAACTGTAAACTCACAAATTAACATCCTGGTTTACAAATATTTTGAGAATATGGGTGTCTGACATACAACAATCTGAGTGACCCATAATTTTCAATAATCAAATATCTGAACCTCAAAACTGAGGCATCAATCCTGGAAGAGTTGGAAAGAAGAGGGAGGAAAACTTATTTTCCCGTATCCGTGCTTGTCCCTTCTCTTCCTACTATCAAAAGTGGTCATAGCTGTTAGGAAAGAGTATAAAACCTAAATGTAATTTATTCCCACTAGGATGTTTAAACATTTTAACATTAAGGTATTAACAAAGGGCCACGTGGTGGAAGCTGCTCCGGCTGAGAGGGGGTGGGGGAATTGATAAGGGCCTGGCAATACCTGTTTGAGTTTTTTTAAACCTACCAATAAAATTAAGACAAATGTAAAGGAAAGATATAACTGGCTTAGGTGACGTCCGGGGAAGAATGTGAACCCTGTAGTACTCAGCCAATGAGGAACCAGGGGAGGGACTCACATACTAGGAGATTGGCGCCAAACTCCCCAGGTGTGCCTGCCCACCAGACCCCCGATCTTGCAAGATCATTAAAGCCTCACTCCGTTGTTCTCTTTGTCTCTGTGTCCAGTTATTGAATATGGACCAGTGAGTGTGTTTCACAATTTGGGGGCTTGTCTGGAATCCTCTTGCCTGTGTGTGGTGGGGGCCCAAGCAGAGTGGAAAGACGCGTCCTGCCTGGCTTTGGGTGGGCCGCTGTGTCTGGGCATCTCACCGTCGCACGGAAGTCAAGGGGAGACCCGAGACTGTTGTGCGGAGACAGCGTGACCGACGCAGGGGAGAAAACAAAGGCACCGCTGTAACCAGGCAAACTCGTGCACGAGCCAAGGTGGGAAAATTGGGCTATAAATACTGCCATGGTGGTTGGGTATTTTTCAAAGGTTGAGTGTGTGTGTGGCTGAGACGTGTAATCTCGGGGTGTGTGCAAGAAACTTCCATTATGGGGGTTGAGTACACAGGGACCTCCTGAAGGATGGGAAATACAAATTCTAGGCCTAGGGAAGCAGAGAAAGGGAACCAGATGAGCTCCCTTGGAATTCTCCCCAGATAGCCTGCTGGGGTGAAGGTTACGGTACTGGGGGGAAACCTCCTGTACCAGGTTAAGGACAAACAGAAGATAATCGAATTTTGCTGTTTTGTCTGGATTAAAGTTAGATCAGATGAAAACTGGCTTTGCCATGTTTGAGTTATTTTTTTTACAGTAATAAAGCCTCCAGTTCACCTGAGGAATCTGTTGGTTAACAAGCGTGCTTCCCCTATTTCCTCTCGACACCAGGGAAGGGAAAGCTAGGGAGGAGGAAATACAAGAGACCTCCCAGGGCAAGCCCTGGTGTTGGGAGAGCACTGTGTGTTTTCCTCGGTCCCTTTCCCTGTCCAGCCGCAGCGGAGAGTTGAGGGGTGGGGACACGGCGGTGAGGCGGAGTGAGAGTTTTGTTTGGAGTTACTCCTGGACAGAGAAAGTGAGGCCGCCTCAGGAGGGAGGGGCACCCTGAGAGGTTGGAGAGAGAAAGTTTGAAGTTAAAAGGTTGTGCACTTTGAGGGTGCCAGTGGCCTCGGAGAGAGGAGCGCCCCAGGGATTGGGGGTTCCCTTTATAAAGATTCTTTAAGAGTGTGGCCGGGACCTGGAGGTGTAGAATTGTTAGGTGGTCTCAAGTATCTTTGATGAGACATTATATTTCTTATCAGTCCTCTAGGTAATTCTGCAAAATTAGTGTAACAAGAAATTGACTGCTTTTAGTCCCCTCCCAGGATAGCAGTTTGCTGGTTTGGGAGCATATCAGGACTGGCTGCCCTTCTTCCAAGGAAGGCAGAGTTATTGTCTGCTAATGAGTAAGTTGAAAGTCTTGCTTCTTGACCTCCTGGGTATTAAAATGCAATCTTTGGGATGAAATCCTTCCTGCCTTTTGCTTTGTTGTTTACGGCTGCGCCTGCATGCTAAATTGATTGCCTGGGTTGCACACTTTGATTGGGGTTGGAAAGAAAAAAAATAACATACAGGTAAAGTTAAAAAAGAAAAGAAGAGGCTGGGCCTGTATGATTAACATAATAATGACAGGCTATGCTGAAGTACCCTCTCCTATATCTGAGGAATATTCAAACATTCCAGGCCAAGTTGTTCCTGTCTTTTTGAGCTTTAATTAATTAACTCTGGGTCTTTTTAGTGGACTTTCCTGGCCTTTTTCTCTTTCCACCCCACTCATATCTATTTAACATTGGGACCCACTTTCTTGTCTCCCTCCCTATTTGTAAAACTAACATTTCCAGAATATCTCCCCTGGCTTTGGCATATCTGCATATCAACAGGCGTTCAGAAGTGGAAAGAAGTATGGCTTTAGTGCATTTGCAGCTTTCCTCAGAGAAGTTCATCTCCTATCAATGGGTAATTACCTGGGCAATGGAGGGCTATTCTGTACCTGAGAGGTGAGGGGGAGGGCGGGTTTTTGGCTGATGCTGGAGCCTGAAAGAGAAACGGCCCCAAACTGCAGCCTGTGAGTAATAAATAGATTTTAAACTTTATTTCTCCCTTTGACTGATTTCAGTTTTTAGAGGTATTTTGCCCCAAGATTTCCTCTCCCCATACTTAACAATGTAAGAAGGGCTTAGAGTTTCCTCTTGCCTTCTGAGGAGTCCACCAGGAATCCCAAAATGTTTCCATTGAGAGAGGTCCCACTAGTACAAGGAGAAATTTGTTAATGCTCCCCTCATGGGTACTGAGGTGAGAAATTTTAAGCATAGGTAGAAGATCCCCTTGGCCTAGTGAACCAACTAGATCAACTCCTGGGACCTAATTTATATACTTAGGTTGAACTGATGTCCATCATGAATATCATATTCCCTGATGGTGAGAGGTGGGAACAAAAACACCCACTGGGCCAGGGTGTCCAGTCAGGGGAAAACAAGTGTTCCCAAATGTAGGTCCTAGATGGGATAATAATAATCTAGGGGATAGAATTAAAATGCAGGATCTTCGAGAGCTAATTATAAAGGGAATTAGGGAATCAGTCCCAGTATCTCAAAATGTTTCTAAGGTGTTTGAAGTCCAATGGGAAAAGGAAGAAACCCCAACTGCATTTTCACAGAGACTCAGGGACCAGATGAGAAAGTATTCAGGACTTGACCCAGAAAAGT